AAATAAAATATTTAAATATTTTTATTTTTTAAAAATTTATAAATAAAAATAAATTAAATAATATAATTCATTTCAATCCTTTCAAATCAAAAAAATAAAAAATAAAAAATAAGAGCTCCATCTCTCTCTCTTTCTATTAAAATGATTTATCCAAACAAGAAAAAGTGTTCTCTCTTACTTACTCTCCTTTCTTCTCCTCTAATTTTCTCAATTCAAATAAAGTATAAAAGACTACATGTACTAAAAGAAACAGAGGAAACTTTTAGATTTCTACATACAAAATACGCTCACAGTAACTAAACAGAACATAAAACTAATCAATTCAAACTAAGTTAATTCTGCAAATTCCTCTTGATATATTGATTCATTTATGTAGGTCAACCTAGATTAGAAAGAAAGTGAAATTTAACTTTAAAATTAAGTAGAATAAAACAAAAAAAGGGAAGGAAGCAAGCCAAGAAACACCAAAAATCCATTTAAAAATCTACGTAACTCCATCGAATTGAGAGACAAAAGAGAAAACCCAAATTAGAAGCTTAGATTAATTACATATTCCAACTGAATTTAAGATGTTAAGGCTACACAAACTAATCTTCAGGTTTCTTCAACGGAAGAGAGAAATAAACCAAATTTCCTTAAAGAATTATTCCTTCTTAGCAAAAAGAAGACAAAAAAGAAACATTCTTCCTTCGCATGGTTACAATGCCCATGAGCGGAGGTTTTTGTCGATGATTCCACACTTGGAGATTCAAGTGATGAAACCCCACGACGCACCATCGATGCCTCTTCCCCTCTTCATATTGGCTTTTATGCGGTTTTGGTTACCTTCTGGATTGGAAAATGTGTAGAGAATTTGAAGCCGTACGGCTTTTGGTAACCACGAAATAGAGAAAAAGGAGAGAAAACTTGAGGAGTGGCTCTGAGCGGTGTCCAGACGTTTGTCTCAGCCACGAACGGGAAGTCTCACATAAGAATAGGTGGGTTTCTTTGAGCCACACGGAGGAAGCAAATATGTGGCCCTATATGGGTTCTTATATTATTATATCTTTCAGTCAACATTAAACAATTTTTACTAGTGCTTCACTTAAAATGAATAAAATTTTCTTAGATTTGTATTATTTTTATATTTTCCTCCACATTTTTCTTCAAGGATAAAAAAAAAACATAAAAGGAAATATTGGGAACTGAATACATTAGTCATTGTAAAAGGAATGTCATTGAAGAAATTTTCCAAAACATAATTGAAGTGGGACGGTATGCTTTGACAACTACTTCTCTCTCAACATTCCTCTTTTCTCATTCAAAATTTAATTGTATTTACAATGAAATTTTGTGGACCAGAAACATCCTATTGTCATTATTCATTGTCCAAAAAGTAGGGTAACATTTAAGACAAGGATAAGGTAACATTTTGTATTGAAATTGATAAATAAGATAGTAGTAAAATCTTTTATCAAATAAATTCTAACCGTCTTAGTTTTGCTAATCAATCAATCAATAAGTTTTTACATTTTATGTAATAAATCAAAATCAATAGTTGAATGAGGTAACATTTTGTTATTATTATTATTATATTATTATTATTATTTAGTATTTGTAAGGTTTCATCTGCAATATTACAAGTAAATTTATAATTAAATGTCTAAATATATCAATAGCAACATGACTAAGAGAATGGAAATTATGATATCATCTTTATGGTTAGAATTTTACCAAGAAAAGGAGAAGTATTAGTTACTCCAACCAAAGAAAATATCAAAGAAATCAAACATGTATGATGGGTTAATTTTCTTTGAAAGAAAGTTAAAGATATGCTATGCGGAAGAATTGAATGAGAAATATCACAGAAACATCTTATTGTCTTTTAGTCAATTTGTTATTGCCCAACAGAAGGTGCAAAACATAATTGAGGCCAATTTCCTTTTTTTTTTTTTATAGATTAAAAGATCAACAAACATTAATTATTAGATAATAAAAGGCTCCTTAATAATAATTAATAAGTGAGAATCCTTCAATTTAGTAGTTGGTGTTTTACAATTTAAATTACAAAATACTAGTGTATTAAACTCAATAAAGTTTAAGAAAATTACTTTTTTATAGGAAAATTATGTTAGAGACAAGATATGTAGGATCATTACTTCTCAATACTCTTTTTGACATTTTAATTATATATATTTTACGAACATTTCCAAGTATTTTACTAATTATATCTTTGCTTATTAGGCACAATATAAAAATTTAAATGAGTATTAGCAAAAGACGAGTATTCAACTTAAATCAATTGATGATAGAAGAAATAACAAATTTTATTATTAAAAGCAACAAGTCTATATATATATATATATATATACTTTTGCCAACTAAGTGAAAAGGTTAATATTTATACTTAAAAAAGGGAAAAGTGAAATATATTATCTTGTTTCAATAAATTTTTATTGAATAGTATTAAAAGCCATATTTTTATAACATGGATTAAATTATTTTTTGTTTTTTATTGTGATGCTTTATTTAAAATGGTATATTTTAGTGTGATTTTTATGTTAATTTTTTAAAAACAATGAGATAGATATGTAAAAACTAATCTATTTTGAAAATGATGGTTATAATTTCTCAACATAAAAAGAGATATTTTGGAAACATTCTATTAATTTACCATTTAGAAAGTAATAGAAGGAAAAACAAAGGAACAGGAAATTCTATTGCCCAGAAACTTACCTCCAGCAAAAGGAGGAATCAGGGAAAATTTTATTCACTTAACCGTAGAAAAAGAGCAAAAGAGGCAACGTAAAAATGGGGTAAGAAATTGACTTTAATTTTTAAAGAATAGAAAAGGTAAACTGGAACTTCCAAGAAATGGGACAGCCGGCTTTAGTCAATTATTCACAGTGGAAAGGAAGAAAAAGTAAGAAGAAACAAATATAGAAAATATCACAGAAACATAATTGCATTGGCTAACTAGAAATCCATATGCGCGTATGGCTACAGTGGTGTCTCTGGTCTTTAAAAGCAGGGCTGCATTTCAATTCCTCCTCATCTGTGCTCAGTTTTCTCACAAACATCATCTCTGTTTCTCTTAGGATTCTCTTGCGTTTGCTATTTTTCTGTGTGGCTAAGCATCTTAGGATCAGATTTGGTAAGTGATTACGTTTTATTTGCAGATTCTTCATCAACATTTCAACCTATTTTTAGTCCAGTTGCTGCTACAATCTCTGCTCCCTTAACACTATTCCCCTTTTCTTTTACAGAGTTAATTGTGCTAGCCGTCTTTCTCTGAGCCTATAAGCATAATGGCTGAACTCGTCCTTAACTTCGTCACCCCAATCATAGAGAATGCAGTTTCTAAAGCAATTTCACTTGCTGCTGCACAAATCAGCATGGCATGGGGTCTGGAGAAGGAGCTGAGGGAGCTCACTCAAACACTAACTATGATCCAAGGATTGCTTCAAGATGCTGAAGGGAGGCAAGAAAACAATCCAGCCATATGGAATTGGTTACAGCAGCTCAGAGATGTAGCTTATGATGCAGTGGATGTACTGGATGAGTACGGTTATGAGGTTCTTAAGCACAAAGTTCAGACTCAACGCCGAAAGAGGAAACAGGCGCACACCTTCTTTGCTCTTTTCAATTGCATTGCCTTTCGTCTTAGCATGGCTGATAAGATTAGGAAGATTAATAGGACTCTGGTTAAAATCAACAACCATGGGGTTTCAGATTTGCTGATCAAATTTAGTGACCAAAGTCATTCCACTGCTAGTGCAAGGCCATATCCTAGGACAGATTCCATCCTTGATTGTTTAAAATTTGTAGGAAGGGATAATGATGTCTTAGAAATTGTCAACAAGCTGGAGAACATAAGGAGTCAACATCTCCTCTCTGGCATTTCAATAGTAGGCTTGGGGGCCATAGGCAAGACAACATTAGCAAAATCAATATGCAGTATGGTAAAAGAACAAAAGTTGTATGATCTGGTGGCTTGGGTTTGTGTGTCCGAGGAATTTGATGAGAAAACAATATTGGGAGATATGTTAGAATACCTTGATGGCTTTGCTGGTCAAATGAATAATATAGACGCACTTATTCAGAAGCTTGGGCAGAAGTTAGAAAATAGAACATTTCTTTTAGTTCTTGATGATATGTGGAATGATGATAGAGACAAGTGGGATAGTTTTAAATCTCGTTTGTTAAAAATTTTAAAAACCAGTGGAAACTCCATGCTTGTGACTACTCGTAGTGATACGGTAGCATCCATAATGGAGGCACTTCCAATGCAAAAACATGATATGGTAAAGCTATCAGATCATGAATGTTGGTTGATAATTGAGGGCATAGTTCTCAGATCATCAACAGAAACTTCAATACCTTTGGATTTAGAAGGTATTGGACAAGAAATTGCCAAAAAATGTGGGGGGTTGCCATTAGTTGCAAGTGTAATTGGAGGAGCACTGAGTCATGAAATGAAGACAGATAAGTGGCAAGAGATCCTAGATGATGAAGCATGGATTTTGCAAGATGAAAATAAGAAGATTTTATCTATATTGAAAATTAGTTTCGATCGTTTTCCTTCATCCTTAAAAACGTGCTTCTCTTATTGTTCAATTTTTCCAAAGGATGCTGTCATTTTCAAAGATGATTTAATTCAACTTTGGATGGCTCAAGGGTTTCTTCACAATTCTAATGGAAGCCTTGTGGAAATGGAGGATATTGGTAATGAGTATTTCAATGAGTTGTTATCTAATTCTTTACTTCAAGATATTAAATGGGATCTTTATGGGAATATTGAATCTTGCAAAATGCATGATGTAGTGCATGATCTTGCATTGCTTGTGTCAAAAGGTGAGACCTTGGTTTGGAACACTAGTTGCAATTTTGATGTTCAGAATTGTAGTACTATTCGACATTTGAGAGTCCAGTCCAATGGAAAGGATCATCCAACCATTCCAAGAAGTGTTGCTCAAAGGTTGCATTCTTTGTTTTCAGATGTTGATGTTTTTTGTAGCATGGCATCAGATCTCAAAAGCTTGCGATCCATGAAATTAATGGCAGATCAGAATAAGAAGTTGCCGACTTCTCTCGGCAAATTGAAACATTTGAAGTACCTTGATATCTCAAGAGCTTATGTAACAGTAGCACCAAAAACCTTCTCTAAGCTCTATAATTTGCAAACTTCAAAATTTCTCGATTGTGGTCCCAATGGCATAGCAAATCTCATCAGCTGGAGGCATATCTATTCTATTCATCCACATGATATATCTATCATGCAGTTAACCTCCCTTCGAACATTATCACACTTTGTTGTCGGCACAAAAAGGGGATTCCAGATTGAAGACCTTGGATGCTTAAGCCAACTTGAAGGAAAACTAGGGATTTTGAAGCTTGAACATGTAAGATCCAAATTAGAAGCCTCTAAAGCAAACCTGAAAGAAAAGACAAAATTGCATCAATTGACATTACATTGGAGTAGTGACGATGAAAGAGCAGTCAACAACAACAATGATGAAGAGGTTCTAAAAGGCCTTCAACCTCATTCAACTTTGAAAAGCCTCACTATTAATGGTTATAAAGGAAAGATGTTCCCATCTTGGATGGGGAATGATATCAATAGTTCTGGTCCTTCATTCCTTCTTTACAACATGGTGGAGTTGCAGTTAATTAATTGTGATGAGTGCACGTGTATTCCGAGTTTGGGACTATTGCCTAGTCTCAAGGTTCTTTGCATTGAAAGAATGGAAAATGTTAGAGGAATGGGTCACAAGCTTCAGCTCGGTGGAGCAGAATCAATCAGATTGTTCCCAGCTTTGAAAACACTCGCCGTATGTGACATGGAAAGGCTAGAGGAATGGGTTGAAGTTGTAGAGGATGCAGCTGCAGGGAGCCAAGGTGTGATCGTGTTTCCTTGCCTTGAGAGGTTGCTGATTTCTGAATGTCCTTTGTTGAAGACTTGGTCGATGGGTGGATTTTCGTCTCATCACAAGCTCTCCGAGCTGCTAATAGAACACTGTTCGAGTCCGACGGCTATCCCTAGTTTAGATGGCCTCTCAGCTCTTGAGAAATTAGAGTTATTCTCCTGTGATGGATTAACAAGTCTACCAATCGGGCTTGGATCCTGCATCTCTCTTCAGTTGTTGGAAATTAACGGATGCCAAAATCTGAACTCCATTACAAGTATAAATGGGCTCACATCTCTTGAAAGACTCAACCTTATTTGTTGCGATGGATTAACGTGTCTTCCAATTGGGCTAGACTCTTGCATTTCTCTTCAGTTGTTGACAATTTTCCAATGCCAAAATCTGAACTCCATTCCAAGTATGAATGGGCTCACATATCTTGAAAGACTCTACCTTACTTCTTGTGATGGATTAACGTGTCTTCCAATTGGGTTAGACTCTTGCATTTCTCTTCAGCAGTTGGCAATTAGAAGTTGCCCTAATTTGATTTCCATTCCAGAAGATATCGGGAAATTGCATTCTCTCAATGTTCTTAGAATCATAGAATGCGAAAATCTAAGGAGCATTTCAGGGGAGTGGCTAGCTAGCCTCACTTGCTTGAAGGGGTTACACCTTGGTCCTTTCTGGTCGGAGTTGGAGGATTTTCCTGGACTAACTTCCATTCATAAACTCCACGCCTCCCTTGAAAAATTGGAATTGTATGGATGGGATACACTAGAGTCTCTGCCACATCAGCTTCAACATCTCACTGCCCTCAAGGAATTGACGTTATTGAAGTTCAATGGCCTGGAAGCTTTGCCAGAGTGGTTGGGAGACCTCTCTTCTCTTCACAGGTTGGTAATTTGGAGTTGTCCTAATTTGACTCATCTGCCTTCTATTGAAGCCACGCGACGCCTCTCCAACTTACAATATCTTGGCATTCGACATTGTCCCAAATTGAAGAAAAGTTGCGCCAAAAAGAGGAGCCCTGAATGGTCCAAGATCTCCCACATTCCCAATATTAGAATCCATTACAAGAACGTGCAGGGCGAATGCAAATTTTCCATGGTATGTTTATTTTCTGTATCCCTAATCCCTTCATTCCACATCATTTAAGTATTATGCTAAGCAGAAATTTCTTTTTAATCTCTTACTTCGAAGAAAACAGATCTTCGTCTCTGAAACATACTAACATATTATGATTCTGTTATTCAAATAATCAAGTTTTAGTCTTTGACCAAATCTCGGTGATTCATGCAGGGGAGTGATTCTAAATATTTATGAATCTGCTCAGGCCTCAGAGTTCATCCAAAGCTAGTGAGTTCCTAAATTCCTTTCCGTAATCCTTCTGTTCATTTTTATTTTCATTCCAATTTCAAAAGCTTCATTTTTGAGGTTTGCGTTTTTCCTCCATAATCCTTTTTTTTTTTTTTTTGATTCTGAGTATGATTTTTTTTTTCTTTTGTGTATTTCTTTGTTCTATTCAGTTTTGTTCATCTATTTTCATTTAAATAAATGCAGGCAATCTACTTTTCCTGTTCTGAAACCAAAAAAATTTATCATGATGACTGGAGGGTGATTTTCACAATGGGGACCCAACCAGATGAGTGGTCCTCTCTGAGTGTCTAAACCAGAGTTTCTCTAGGTTTGTCTTGTTACTTTGAAGTCATATGTGCCCTTAATCGATTTATGAATTTGATAAGTTTAATTTCATATTAAATCAAAACTTTAAGCAAAGAATTTATTCCATTTCAGGTTAGAGATTATGGTGTTTTTGAATTTGCTACTTTGCTGACTGTTAATGATCGAATCTGGAGTCTGGACTCCTTACAACTTTGTGAACTACATTCTGAGAAAATCTTTTCCCTTTGACAAGAGCACTGCAGCTTCACTAGTATAAATGATGGTGGTAGTCCTTTCAGTTTTTCTTGGAATTTAAAGATCTTGGTGCCATAGTTTATGTGTACACACATTTTGCAGTAGTGAGGATTCCATTGAATTTTACTTGGAATTAACCAAAGGATCGACTCTTCCACCATTTCTCAGGCACTTGTGCTTTTATGGTAGAATATCTCTTTCAATTTCCAACAAATGAAGAAGATGGTATGGCTTTTCAAACCTTTTCTTTGAATCTAAAACATATTATACCTGGTTTTGAATAAACTCTTTCTATAGCTTAGAGTTTGATGATGTAATAATGGACACGCAATCAACAAATGAAGTGAAGAGAAACTGACAATGAGATCCCTGTGCACCAAGTGATTGTTGGTAAAGTGGTCTCAATAGCATCAATTTGGTTATGATAGAACTCTAACTTTGTAAGTTTTCCCCTTTAAAAGGCATTCCAATATTTTCATCTTGCTTTGTAGATGTAATTGATGGAAATGAATAAAAAGGTCAACCATCAGCATCTAAGAATCAATGATATTGAACAGATTGAGATCTTTTTTTTCAGGGATTTATCAAACAATGGCTTGATCAGAGAAGTGCAAAATTTCTGTCTCAGCTAGTCTTATTGAAGAAAATGTAAGTGCCAAGTGCATTTTGAAGGGTTCATTTCTTCTTTTCCCAATTTCTTTTATTTGGTTATACATACATATAATGGACTCTTAGTCAAAGAAGGGATTCTGATAGCAGATACTGAAGGCACAAATTGGATAAAATGAACTCTCTTTTGTTCTTATTCACTTGTGCTTTGTCCTCTCACTTTATAATACTGTGTTCTTAATAGATTACTTATAAATTGATAACTTTGGGTTTGCAGGTTAAATCAAAGTTTAGCTTGTTAGCAATTCTATTTCAGTGGGAGCTTCTGATATATTCGTTGTCTTCATACTCTGCTAATATCTAGGAGGAAATGGGGAATGCAATGAAAACAGAATGAGGGGAGCTGGAATTCAGTATATTTCAGTGTTCATCAAAGCTGGTAAGTCCTTGTCCTCCAAATTCTTTCTTTTCTTTACACTAATTACGTTTTCTTCAGGTTGCTTTGTTTTTATCTTATTTTGTTTCATTCTTATTTCTGATATATTTCATCTTGCTTCTCATACCACTACCAGAAAAACATTTTCGAGGATGCATGTAGCAGTTTCATTTTGATTCATGTCTTGAAACAGATTCAACAAGATTATATGCTTCACTTTCCAAAATGCGAGGAGCAGTTGGAGATAGAGAATGTGAACAAGAAAAAAAAAAAATGCCAAAAGAAAAGGTAGTTATTATGAAGCATAAATTAAACTGTGTTGATTGCATTTCGTTTATTCTGCTTTGATTCATTTCTAAAGATTAAAATGAATGTGTGTTTCTTCAGTGCCTCTGTTCTTTGTCTTGGAAAAGCTGTGGTGGAAATTCACTGAGGCCCATAGGGTGTCTTCAAGCATATGTGTTTCATTATCCGAACCTGTACCTATTTCATTCTCATTTGTTCTCAATTTTCTTCTTGTATAATTTGTTTTCTCTCTTTCTTTGTG